AATATTCAAATTGATCTTTAAAGTATTTTTGTGTCCTATTTAGTAACTAAAGCAAAATAGTGTTATATAACTTGTCACTCTGCTAGCCTGATTAATCCCTATTAATGGCAGTTAATTCCTTCTACTGATGGTCGATATCGAATCTGGAGTGGATCTTGCTAAAAAAAAAATGATCAATTAAGTTACATTATTTAATTTTAATGATTAAATTGGTCACAAAAATATTTAAATAACCAATTTAAAGTTTTGCTTAAACTTCAGTGAGCATTTTTGAAATTGACTCAATTAAAATTTGAAAAGGTAAATGGTCAATGCGGATTTCGGTTTGATAAATGGAGAGGGGGAAAAAAGTGATTATCCACTCATTGTAGAAAGCTTTTTGCCATTGAATAAAGAGGATATTGGAGTTTATTCTTTTGAATCATTACACCTTTTTTTTCGATTGTGTATCATTACTAATAAAAAGCAAAGAAAAAGACGAAGAAACATTTCAACTGAATTGGTCAAATCGCTTCTTTTAAGAAAATGTTCGATCAAGTCCCCATCTCTTTTGAGTATGGTCATAGTGCCCAACAGTTGCTCACCACACCACACGCTATTCAAGAAACAGGTGTAAATTAAGTTGTGTCATTAGTTCATTTTGAATTTGAAATCTTTGACTATGATAAAGTATTTTATTTTATTTTTAAGGTGTGTTTGACATTGTTCAAAATACCTAAATTGTGGGAGTTCGACTCGATTCTAACTCTGTATAGTGTTGTAGTGTATCAAACCTATGTAGTCGACTTTAACACATCTCAACTGTAGAGGTAACTCAATCGATAATATGGACATTTCTAATGGTTATCTCAAGTGAGTGACTACCTTGTGTTACATTTCTAATAAGTAACATTAAACATTGTAAAAGACAAATATTTCATGTCTTTCTTACTGTGATACACCCAAAACTTGAAAACACTATTCTTGAACAATTTGGAAATGGATGATGGATTTTCCTCTTGTCCTATTACAAACATAAAGTTATTGTCAAAATCAAATTCAACTGTCATCCTTTCTCGGGTGTTTGACACCCATTTTAGTAGAAAAATGTGTTTTTGAATAGTGATTGATGGAAGAATGTGCGGTTAAAAAATAAGGAGAATTTTTGGGTTTATGTGTAATATTATTTTATTGATAGAATGTGTGGTTGAAATGACAAAAGAAAAAAATAATGAGATTGGAAATGAGAAAAAAAAATGTGTGGTTGAAATGACAAAAGAGAAAAGAATGAGAGTGAGAATGAGAAAAAAATGTGTGGTTGTAAGAAAAATTTAATTTAAAAGGTTGGAATATCAACAAGACCTGCGCCAAAAAAAGTCATTATATTAAAAAAAGTAAACCGGTTTATTCTTTTTCGTTCAAGTCATTATCTTGTTTGACCAAAACTTATTCTTTTGAAGCATTTTGTGGGCTCTGTTTGTAGCCATTTTTAGGGGCCATAAGATTATATATATATGATTAATGCAGTTGAAAATATCAATGTGCGAACGAAATAATAAAATTAAATTTCTATTAATTTTAAAAATACTTAAATATTTAGAGTAAGTGTTTGACACCCATTTTAGCCTCTGTTTGTCATCCATTTTATCAAACATTGTTTGCTACAGTAAACAATCTTCACAACATATTCATTCAATAAAATATTCTACACACAAAAAAATAAAATTACTTACTTTTCAACCACACATTCTCCAAAAAATATTATTCAAAACCCTATTTCTTCTCCCAAAATGGGAGACAAACAAGCACTTAATGGGTTGAAATTTTTTGGAATAGTGATTGATGGGAGAATGTGTGGTGAAAAAAGAGAAATGCTATTCATCCCCAGTGGGGATGCATCCTCAATCTATGTGGCGTTAATGTAGCATTAAATGATAGGTGAAATTAAATGAGTCATTTAATTTCACCTGGCATTAATAATTTAATTTCACCTATCATTTAATGCCACATTAACGCCACATAGACTGGGGATCCATCTCCAATGGGGATGAATAGCATTTTCGTGAAAAAATGATGAAAGGTTTTAGATTTATGTGTAATATTATTTTATTTGAAGAATATATGGTTGAAATGAAGAAAAAATGAAAAAGAGAAAGAGAATGGATGCCAAACGGAGGCTAATAATTTATTGATTCGTAAAAATGAATATTAAAAACCAAAGATATTGGTGTCATTTTGAGTCCTTTTGTAGTAGTACGTTGTAAGAGAGATAATTCATCTTACTTAAGAGTTACTTTTTCGCTTTTTTGTTTTTTGTAAATTTGGAGGTAAGGTCTATCACCTCCATCTTTTAATATTAAATCATTATGATAAGGCATCTTAACGCCTCACTGGGTCTAGATTGAGGTCTAAAAGTTCAGTCTAAGTTTCAATCAAAAATGCTACTTGTACATCA